CTTCCTTGAGACAAACGATCATTTGAAAATCCCTTCAGTGAATCTCTCATCTGTTTGTTGTTTGGGCTTCTTAATTTTATTTTTTTTTTTCTCTTTTAATAATCTTACTTTAACTGTGACACTTTTTATAAATCTAAATCTACACCCAGAGGTCACTGGTTGGCTGAACTTAAACCGTTTTACTTAGTAAATTTAATTAAGAAAATACAGTGCAACTCATAAGCAAATGAGTTTTTTCCTAGTTTTAAACCAAACCACCCTCTCGAGTGCTGATTGCCTCGCTCGACCCCTGGTGATACAGAAACAGGCAAAATTAAAAAGGACATTAAAGCTTCATTAAATCTGAAACACATTTAGTACAGTGACATATCTGCAGGCTATTTCGGGGAAGATTACAGACTCTTTGCTAAGTTTCTTAATTTATAATACCTTGACAATCTTGCAGGGAGGAAATCTGAGCAGATGGATCCAGTGGTGGTGCAGGGGATGCAGAAGTGGCACAGGAGCTGGCCCTGCTTTGCTGAGAAATGTTTCTTTTTTGGCAAAGAACTTGTTGCATTTTGGGGTCCTTCAGCACTCATTTATTCACCCTGTGTTTGTGTCTGCCTCTTTCTGCAGTTATTTTTATTTTATTTTATTTTATTTTAATTTTATTTATATTTTATTTTATTTTATTTTATTTTATTTTTTATATTTTTATTTGTATTTTTATATTTTATTTTAATTTTATTTTGTTTTGGTTTATTTTATTTTTTATTTTATTTTATATTTTTATTTTTATATTTTATTTCTATTTTTATTTTATTTTGTTTTATTTTGTTTTATTTTATTTTAATTTTTATATTTTATTTAAATTTTTTCGTTTTATTTTAATTTTTATTTTTATATTTTTTATTATTTTATTTTTATTTTGTTTTATTTTTATTTTGTTTTATTTTGGTTTATTTTATTATTATTTTATTATTATTTTGTTTTATTATTATTTTATTATTATTTCATTTATTCCCCACTTATTTTATTATTATTATTATTATTCTGCTGCCTGGGAGCCCCTGCTGAGGCCTGGAGTGGTCAGTGGGAATGGAAATGCTTTGTTTGGAGTCACCATCCAGGCAGTGATTGTTTTTCTTAAATAAGATTATTTTAAGATTATTATCTTAAATAAGATTATTTTCTTAAATAATGCTCTGGGCACGGCACCTTTGTCATCTGCTTGTTTGCTGGAGTTTTTCACTGTTCCTTGGTATAAAAAAGCAGAATTGGGTTTGTTTGTATTTGTGGGAAGCTGTTGGGTATTTGTGGGTTCATTTCTAGGCTCAGCTCCTGGGGATCTCAGATTCCTGCTCGGGACAGGAGGGTGGTGCTCCCAAAAGAGCAGGAGCTGGTAAAGGATGAGTTTTTGTAGCCCCTGGGCCACAGCAGGAAATGAAGTTTGTTGAAGTCAGCAGCATTTTCAGAGCCTGTCATGAGAGAGACCTGAGTGGCTTTCCTGAGATGGGAATGATCAGAGAATTCCAAAATGCTTTGGGGTGGAAGAGACCTTCAGGATGATCCGGGCAGGGAGATCTTCCTCTGTCCCAGGCTGCTCCAAGCCCTGTCCAGCCTGGCCTTGGACATTCCAGGGGCATCCACAGCTGCTCTGGGCGGCTGTGCCAGGGCCTGCCCACCTTCACAGGGAGGAATTCCTTCCCAAATCCCATCTAAATCTCCACTTCTCCACTCTGAAGTCATTCCCTGTGTCCTGTCCCTCCATCCCTTATCCCAAATCCCTCTCCAACTCTCCTGGAGCCCTTCAGGCCCTGCAGGGGGCTCTGAGCTCTCCCTGGATCCTTCCCTTCTCCAGGGGAACATTGCCAGCTCTCCCTGGATCCTTCCCTTCTCCAGGGGAACATTCCCAGCTCTCCCTGGATCCTTCCCTTCTCCAGGGGAACATTCCCAGCTCTCCCAGCCCAGCTCCACCCTTGGAGCAGCTCTGGGGCCTCCTCTGGACAAGAGTTTTGAGGTCAATATTGTGAAAGCTTCATTTAGGAGTGACCCCCAAAGAAATTGTTTCATCTCTCACACAAATGCTCTGGGTTTGTGATGTCTCCCCCAAGGATTTGGCAGAAATTTGCTGGTTTTGCTGAGGCCAAACTCTCCTGGGGTTGGAATTGCAGGAAGGAATTCCATCCCTGGCTCCTTCCCGAGCTGCTGAGGCTCGGGGATGTCTGCTGCTCCTTCCTTGCCCTCACTGCAGCTCTGTCTGTGCCTCCTTCTTGTCCTCAGGAGAGTTTTGTGCTGCCAAGAGGCTGAAATTTCACCTCTGGGAGCTGCAATCTGGCCAGGTCGGGTGTCCCCAGCTCCAGGAGCTCAGGTGTCAGCGCTGGGAGCGGGGTTTGTCCCTTGCCGTGGGTGACACGGTGCCTCAGAACTCCAGCACTGCTGCTCAGGATGGTGGGAATGGAATTTTATCCAGCTGGGAAATCCATGATTTCACTGCACCCATAACCTCCGTGCTAGGCCTTCCTCTGGAGGTGATAGCAGGATTCTCAAAGGTGATGTGGGGTGTAGGGAGGCTCTTCTGGCACACCCAGAAAGACAAGAGAGCTGCTCTGTGTCAGCTCAGGGTGATAAGTTTGGATATTCAGGAAAAATTTCTTCATGGGAAGTGTTTTCCGTGTGCTGGTGGAGTCACATTCCTGCAGGGATTTAACAGCTCTGTGCATGTGGCACTTGGGGACGTGGTCAGTGGTGGCCTTGGAAGGGCTGGGGGTGGCTGGATTCGATACTCTGAGAGGGCTTTTCCAGAAGATTCCGTGCTTTTAACCCTGAAAACTTCAGTCCCTCACTGAAGAGCAGACACAATAACTCCCAGCAGCTGCATTTTGCTGGAATTGTTTCCAAGGTTTCCCACCGGCTGGGAGAACCTGCCTAGTCCAAAGAATTTCTCTTGAAATGTTTATTACTTACGGTCAGTAGAATATTTTCAGACAATATCCATAAAAATGTTGATCTTGGGACTACTCCATAATGCCTGAATTGGCTTATAAACCAGCAGGGGCAGCAGATGTGGTGGATATCCTGGAAAATGAGATTTCTCTGTGGGTGCTGTGGGCTCTCCCCACATCCCACTGGGGTCTGACAGCAGCAGGGACACCCAGCCCCATTTTATCCTGATTTAACCCAGATTTTACCCTGAACCACTCCAGGGAGGACCTGGGGAGCTGAGCTGCTCATCTCAGGTAATTATCAGCAAAGGGCTGAACTGGTTTCATTTCCACTCCTGGGGAACCTGGGCTTCAAAAGGTGGCACTGAGGGAGAGAAAAGGGCTGGAGAAACCCAGAAATCCCAGGAAAAATGATGGTTGTGAGGGCCCCATTCTAAACACAGCTCTTTGTGTTTGCAGAATCCTCCTTTTTTTGTCATTTCCCCAATTTCTGACATCGAGAGAGTTGAGAACTTTTCTGTCTGGAACTCAAAAGGTGGCACTGAGGGAGACAAAAGGGCTGGAGAAACCCAGAAATCCCAGGAAAAATGATGGTTGTGAGGGCCCCATTCTAAACACAGATCTTTGTTTTTGCAGAATCCCTTTTTTTGTCATTTCCCAAATTTCTGACATCGAGAGAGTTGAGAACTTTTCTCTCTGGAAAGAAATGTACCCAAATCTGGGCTTCAAATGGCCCTGAGGGAGACAAAAGGGCTGGAGAATCCCAGAAATCCTGAGGGGTAATGGTTGTGAGGGCCCCATTCTAAATACAGCTCTTTGTGTTTGCAGAATCCTCCTTTTTTTGTCATTTCCCCAGTTTCTGACATTGTGAGAGTTGAGAACTTTTCTCTCTGGAACTCAAAGGGGGGAACTGAACTGAGGGAGACAAAAGGGCTGGAGAATCCCAGAAATCCTGAGGGATAATGGTTGTGAGGGCCCCATTCTAAATACAGCTCTTTGTGTTTGCAGAATCCTCCTTTTTTTGTCATTTCCCCAATTTCTGACATCAAGAGAGTTGAGAACTTTTCTCTCTGGAAAGAAATGTACCCAAATCTGGGCATCAAATGGCACTGAGGGAGAGAAAAGGGCTGCAGAAACCCAGAAATCCTGGGGAAAATGATGGTTGTGAGGGCCCCATTCTAAATACAGCTCTTTGTTTTTGCAAAATCCCTTTTTTTTTTTCCATTTTCCCAATTTCTACCATTGTGAGAGTTGAGAACTTTTCTTTCTGGAACTCAGATGTTGGAACTGAGGGAGAGAAAAGGACTGGAGAAACCCAGAAATCCCAGGAAAAATGATGGTTGTGAGGGCCCCATTCTAAATACAGCTCTTTGTGTTTGCAAAATCCCTTTTTTTTCCATTTTCCCAATTTCTACCATTGTGAGAGTTGAGAACTTTTCTTTCTGGAACTCAGATGTTGGAACTGAGGGAGAGAAAAGGGCTGGAGAAACCCAGAAATCCCAGGAAAAATGATGGTTGTGAGGGCCCCATTCTAAATACAGCTCTTTGTTTTTGCAGAATCCCTTTTTTTGTCATTTCCCCAGTTTCTGACATCGAGAGAGTTGAGAACTTTTCTCTCTGGAAAGAAATGTACCCAAATCTGGGCATCAAATGGCCCTGAGGGAGACAAAAGGGCTGGAGAATCCCAGAAATCCTGAGGGGTAATGGTTGTGAGGGCCCCATTCTAAATACAGCTCTTTGTGTTTGCAGAATCCTCCTTTTTTTGTCATTTCCTCAATTTCTGACATTGAGAGATTTGAGAACTTTTCTCTCTGGAAAGAAATGTACCCAAATCTGGGTATCAAATGGCACTGAGGGAGAGAAAAGGGCTGGAGAAACCCAGAAATCCCAGGAAAAATGATGGTTTTGAGGGCCCCATTCTAAATACAGCTCTTTGTTTTTGCAAAATCCCTTTTTTTTTTTGCCTTTCCCCCAATTTCTGACATCGTGAGAGTTGAGTACTTTTCTCTCTTGAAGGAAATGTGCCCTCCATGCAAATCTCTATAACTAGACAAATATTATTTCCTTTCCCAGCTTGCTCTTGGGAGGTTTCCATATCCTCAGGTAAGATTGTTCATTACTGCTGTTTGCCACTGTGACATTCATTCCTATGTATGAAGGTGCAGAGAGCAATTGTGAACATTTGAGCCACATACAAATAAATCTGTCCTGTTAAATTGAAAAGTGGGAGCTGGAAGGAGTCATTTAGAAGTCTCTATTGATTTTTTTTTTATATATTTTTTTTTTGCCCCCCTTTTTTTTTTTTCCTCTCCAAACTCTAGGTTTTCTTCCCCTTGAGACAATGAAAATTATGATGATGTTAATCTTGTTAATTTTGTTGGGAGATTAAAAAATAATCCAGTCTTTACAGCATTTTTTTTAATATTTTTTTTGGAAGCTGGAAGATGTATCTGCTCCTTTTCTTATAATTTAATTTTTAATTCCAATTTTGAATGATGATCTAAAATCTCCTCAAAAATAGAATGTGAATGGAATACTTCAGGGAGCTTCAGATTCTTCCTTTTAAGAAGACCTAATTATTAGTATTTTATGTAAATACTGGTATTTTCTAAGTTTCCACCTGAAGCTGCAGGTAAAACTCTTTCCATCTCTAGTGGCAGTGGTTGGGTGGATGCTGAACTCCACATCACCACGGAATATTTTACTTTTTACACCTAAAAACCCCACAAAAACCAAACAAAACAAATCCAGAGCCGCCTTTGACGATCACTTGAAATTCTCATCTCGAGATGGATGTTAGAATTCACAGGAACAAACTGCTCAGCAGTTCCTCCAATTATTCTTTCCAGGGAGAGAGAGAGAGAGAGGAGGGAAAAAAATAAAAAAGTGAAGTGTCCAGGGACTAAAATGAATTATTTGAATGTGGGTTTTTTTTATGTTTTCATATGTTTTATGAAGACTGCTCTCTGCATCTTGGTCTCTACAGCTCGCAGTGCCTGGAGGCATGTCTGATTTAAAGGTGGTGTTGGTCTGTGCTCTTTAAGCATCTATTAACTTGCTATTATTATGCAAATAACTGTTGTAATACACATACTAATTTATGCATGGTTAGATTATGCAGATGCCTCACAAACATGGTTATTGAATAATAGGCTGGGACTCATTCCCTCTCCCGTTTTTAGAAGCTGTTTTAAGCAAATTCTCCTGACACTTTGATGGACTTGGGAAGGTTTTGCCTGGGTAGAAATATTCTGGTTTTTCACTTTTTTATTTTGTTTCCTCTGTGAAATGTTCACTTGCACTGTTAACAGAATAGACTTGGAATATTTCATCTGGGTTTTTAAAGGTGTTTAAAGGAGGAAAGGTTTGGAAAAGAAACTCTTGTGTTGAAGAGCCCTCCATGAGCGGTGAACTCACCGGGGGTCTCAATGTTATGTATTTTATAACCTAAAAATTTATGTATTTTATAACCTAAAACCCAAAACGATGAGGGGACAATTTAAAATAAACCTCATGGACGTGCCAGAGCCAGGGGAAGGAGCTTGGAACGTGGACATTCTGTGTGGTTCCAGGGCAAAAACGTCTCCCTGAACTGGGAGCAAACCACGACTGCCAAGTTTAAAGATGCTTTTTGCTAATTAAAAAAGCGGGTCGGGTTTGTAAAAGAATATTTGGCAAGGCAGCAGTCCATGAAATTGTATATATTTTTTAATGCAAAACAGGCAAGGAGGTGAAACTTTAAAATGTGGCTATTAAGCTTTTCAAGCAACTGCTTTTCAGAAGGGATTTTATGTGGATTTCTGTATTTTAGGCAGGAGAACCCTTGGAAACCTCCTTCGATTAGGGGGATAATTAATTTAATTTCTTTATTTTCCTAGTTAGGGCCTGATCCTGCTCATTCCTCGAGTGATTCCTCCTCACTTCCATGGGGTTATTCGAGGAATGAAGTTAATCACGTGTGTGGTTCCGAATTTGTCCCTAAATCCCTCAGAGTTCCCTCCCTGTGAAAATGGAGAGCGTGGCCACGTGGGTGAGAAACACCTGAAATTTCCTGCAAATGGATGTTGGTCTCCAGCTGCAGCTGCAAAAAAAAATGTATTTTGTTTTGTTTTCTTTTTTTTTTTCTTTCTTTTTAAGACACAGACAAATGGTGTGTGTAAATTCAGTTTTAAATGAAGAAGATTTATAGGGGGGAAATCACCGCAGTGTGGAAATTCAGGACATCCTGCAATCTGCCAGTAAAACTAAAGGATGATTATTTCATTTTCTGGCCTTCAGGAGAATATTTTAAAGGCAGGACTTCCCACTTCTCACTTCTCTCATCTTTTATGGGTATTTCTTTTATAAGTATTTATTTGGCTGATTTATATATCATTATTTAATCTTTACAATTAAGTCTTTAAGCACGTGAGCGACTGCTATGTCAGTAAAAGTTCCTTATGGGTGCGTTTGGAGTTAATATAAAATTATTAACACTTAATTTTATTTTATTTTTTTGTCTCAATATCCAGAATATAATCTTCACAATCAGCACCAAACAGCAAAAGGGAAGGGTGTGAGCAGGGAAATAACAAATAGCAATGCTCAGAACCGACTCTTCCGCTCCAAAAAACTTGGCACGGGGAGCTCTTAAACAAAGTAAATCCTGAAATAATTCAGGGAATATCTGAATTTTTTGGTGCATTTCATTGTTTTGGTGTTGGTTTCCCTTTTGTGGTCGTGGAATGTGCTTTTGTGAAATGTGAAATTCCCTTTGGGAGTGGGAGGGAAGGATGCTGGTGGGATTTTCTGTGGGTACAAACTGAAGTGTTGAAGGGAAAATTCACCCTGGCTTTATTTGCACGAATCTATTTATGAATAAGAACGGTGCACGTGCTTACAAATACTCTTGAATAAAGTTATTTTCTACATAAATATTCAAAAAAGAGAGGAAACCCCTTTTCCAAGGGTGCTGCTCCATAACCCATCCAGCTTTTTATGGATCGAAGGAAGGCACGCAAGGAAAAGAAGTTTTAAATTTTCCTTTAAAAGTTTCACCTTAATTTACGTTATTTTGATCTCACACAAACAACTGGGAAAAAAAACAAAACCCAGATACCCCAAAAAAAGGCCGTGCCACCTTGAATATTGAATTAAATTCCAGGTTGGAACCCCAAAGATCCGAACAAACCTTACAGAGAATCGCGGAGATTCAAATCCCAAAGTCTGGGAATAAAACCACGACTGTTTTGAATGACTTGTTTAATGATAATGCAATTTAGGAGAAATGAAAAGAATTACCCACTAAATATTCTCGGCTTGTAGTCAAACTTTATACAAAGCAGGGTGTTAAAAGGACAGCGCATCCATTAGGGAAATATTCCAAAGGAGCAGGCAGCACTCAGCTGCCGAGGATTTAATCAGCTGCAGGACCACCACGACTGTATTTAAGAGAAATTTCACATTGAGAAAAATCCCAGCCTTCTCCTAATAAATTAGATAAAAACGACCTGATTTATTTTATTTATTATTAATATTATTATTATTATTTTTAAAAGGAAAAGCACCAAAAAAAATTCCCCATCCCTCATTCCACCCCCCTCCCATCCCTTGCTCCCTGCTTCCCATCCTGCTGCTCCCTCTGCTCCCCCCCAAATCTGAGCAAATACTGCCCCTGGTATTGTAAAGCTTTGAATGTTTTCACACCCCATTAATTTATTACTTCTCCTGCCTCATCTTTAAAATTTTTTTTTCCCCTCTATTTTTTTTTTTTTTATTCCTTTCCCTTTTTTTTTTTTTTTAATTTTTTTTTTTTTTTTTTGTTAAATTCCGACTCCCCGCTGCTACAGCGATTTTCATCTTGTTGTTAATTTTCCCTGCTCCATATGGAGCTCCAGACATTTCACCTGGAGGCTGTACTAGATTTTGCTGTAGCGATCGCACTTCCGGAGGCCAAAACTGTCATTTAAGGTTCCCGGTGCATCTGTCTACGCCAGGCTTTTTTTTTTTTGTTAGGGATTTTTTTTTAAAATTTTTTTTTTTTCCCCTCTTTATTTATTTATTTTTTTTTTTTATTTTATTTTCCTGGCACAGGGAGAGTGTGAATAACAAATTGGATGCACCTGAGATTCGGATGATTAGTGTGTTTTGTAGAGCTAGGGCGACTTGTGAGCAGATCGCTGTAGGGATGGGGAGGGCTAAAGAGCCACCCCGGGTGAATCCCCCTTTTCCACTCTTTGGGGGGAGGAATAATAAAAAAAAAAAAATAAAATTAAAAAAAAAAAAATCCAAAAAAATGCATCCCGGCACCAAATATTTCATCCTGCCTTGTCATTGATTAGAAAAGAGCCTTTAATTTCATTTCACCCCATGTTGTGATTAATTTGCATTCTTTGTCAGAAGTTAATGGAGTTTTTTATGGTTCGCTCTGAAATCCTTGAAGACGTCGGAGTTGATCTGATGTTTATACAACCGCCAGCGGAATTTTTGCTGTTTGATTGATGGAGAGCTTGATGTTATTCCAAACGGCTTTTTAAGCTGTTTTTAAGAATTATTTGAATAAAATGCGAGCAAGATATTGTTATAACGGCGGAGATTATCTGTTAAAAATCTGTTTCAAATAAAGAACATGATAAGTAGGGAAAAAAGAGATCAAAAAGACAGGAGGAATGATGGACGCGGGAGATGATATTTGTTAAAATAGATCGGCCAAGGATTCAAATAACTTATTTCAAAATGCAGTGGGAGCAAGAGACCTTAATTTAAAGCTTTTTTTTTTTTTTTTTTTAATAATACAGAGTTTATTTTTGCAGCAGGAAGAATAACGGGAATGAATTAGGGAAGAATTTAGTCATAGTTGGATTTTCCTCTTGTTTGGGGTTTTTTTTTTCCCCTCCCCTTCCTTTTCCCAGCGCTGTGAGCACAGGAGCTCAAACTGGGAGAGACAAGGCTGTCAGGGCTGGTAGTCCAACAAAATGATGACATATTCTTGGTCTCAAGGAAGAGGCATCCTTAAATCCCACGGCAAAGGAAGCAGAAGTGGATAATAGGGAATTTTATCGCCCAGGAAAGCGCTTGCTGTGGACCTGCCGTGCCTTTCCTTCCCGAGAAATCACAACAGGGGG